GTGTATAGATTTTTTTTTCTTCTCATTTCTGTACTCTTCTTTTTGATCAAACAAACACAAACGTCGGCGTTAAAAGAAAAAGAAAGAGAAGTTGAACTATAACTATTCAACGACGATATAAATAAATAAATAAATATATATATATATATATTGAAATCTTCCATCGACAACGAGGCAACATACATACGCACACACATGATCATGAGGATGGTGGCGAGAAGCGAAAAAATGCGTCTTCTACCCCTCCTCTTCAATGGCTGCTATTACTACTCTGACGGACTGAATAAGAAAAAGAAGAGACGCACCAAAAAAGAAGGAGAAGAAAAGAAGAAGCAACAAGCGCTCATTGACTGACTAACTGATCGATTGAACGCGACATACACATACAACATCATATATACACACACAAACAGGATAGTGTACTGAGTGATATTCGGTAGTGGTGGTGGATTGTCCACCGTCACTGTCAATGATCATATATAATATATATATTTAACGATCAACCTTTATTCATGTAAGTTCATTATAAATAAAAATAAAAATGTCAATAAGTATAAAAAGAGAAAAGAATGATTTTATAATAATTATTTTTTCCAGAAACATGACAGCACCTCCTCAACAACAATTAACACCTGGTGATCATCATTATTTTGAATGGTCAACATCAAAACAACAAACAAATCTTCTTCATCCATTAATGACACATACAAATCGAAAACAGTATTATCAACATTATGAAGACAAACATAATTTAGAAGATAATCAATTAAAATCAAATAAAACAACGGGCACATCTCCATCAAGTTTATCTCCTCCATTGAATCAGATAAGTGGTCATATAAGAAAAAAACAAAAAGTCAATGGAACAGGATCATCATCATCATCACTGAATACAACCGATGAACCAAATCAATCACAACAAGTAAAAAATTATTTTTTATTCTTAAAAATCTTTTTTTTTTCTCTATATATTATTCTAGACATGTTATCCATTTCAAGCTGAATTAACACAGAAAATCGACATTGAATGTGGTGGTGGTAGTAGTGGTAATACGGGTACTGGTCAAACAGCCCATACACACCCTACACATCATTTTACATTAAGTACAGTTATAAATGTTAGTGTAAATGGTCAAACACAAAAATCGCTTGATATTCTTCCTTCGTCATCTCAACAACAACAACAACAATATCCAATAAAAACCACTGATCAACAAGATTTACATATTCATTCATCCTTAATTCCTTATTCAGAATTAAATTTATCATTATATTTAAAAGATATTGATCTAACAACATTTGATATGTTTATATTACCATCATGTCCAAATCCTCAAGATTATTTAACAGTAGATGGTTTATTAACATTTTTAATGTCAGATAAAAATTTATCAAATGAATTCAATAAATATAATCAATTAAGGCCAACATCTCAACAATATCCTATACAACAAATGTATAATTATCCTCGAATACAACAACAACAACAGTATCGACACCCATATCCAGTAGATAAAAATAAAAAATAAAAATAATCTATTCTTTTTTTTAAATTTCATTTAGCAATACCAAATGTCTCAATCATATAATTATCCACAACAGAATTTAAATTCGTCAATGATAATGACTGATTTATGTACATCATCAACAACAATTGAAACAGGAACTTCATCATATTATCGACAGTCATCTTTACCACAACAAATGACAAGATATTATCCAACGATAGCACCTACAACTTCATTTAGATAAATGTTTATTTGATCTATATCGATATAGGATTATTCACTTACTGAAAACTATCTATTTCGATCATTCATATATAACCGGTGCTTCCTTAATTCGTTTTATTTTTATTTGAATTTATTTCGTTTATTCTTAAAACAGTTTTTTGTACAAATCATTTCTTTCATTCGACTAAAAACAAAAGCAACATATATATATGTTTCGTAAATGTATCATTTCTTTTTTGTTAGATTTGTATTGTGAATTGTGCAGTTTTTCTTTTCTTTTTCCTTGAAGAAAAATAATATATCATAATATGACAGTACTGAAAATTGTCATAACAATATTATTGTATAGAATAAATGACTTTTTCACTTCTCTAATGTTTCGTATCTATATTAGTAATATAGAACATTATGAATTAATTGATTAATAAGTCGAAGGTATCTCTTATCAAGACTCTTTTAAACGGAAAAGTCATTTCATTGGATATATTTTATTAACCAGCGATTTTTCACAGTTTGTAAATGATTTTCTACCATATCACATCATTAAAATCTTCCTATTTTGAAGGCAGAAGTTCTACACGGAAGCTTTATAGGCTACATTTAGATCCTCCAAGTAAATTATAATATTTTATAGCTTATTTATGATGTTGATAACGTGTAAATAAAAATGAGCAATTGAACTGTCGAAGGATAAATATAGATACTAGACTTTTACCTATTATTAACATTCAAGATCAGTACTCAAGGTTTGTATGATTTAGTTTTACATCAATAGTTTTCACTTTTCTACTTCAAATTTCTCTCGACAAAGACATAAAATAAATGTAATTATCACCAATAAAAGTAGAAAAAAATATAGCTTTTAGCTGCTGAGTAAGTCATTGACTTACATATTTGATAGAAAGATACGCAATAGACTGAATATATACTTACAGTGCGTTCTTCACGTCCTTTTAAATGTGCTAAATGCATATATTAAATTTACAGTAGTATAATATCGAGATAATGATATTGACTCTTCATTGAAAATTATAATGAACTAATTATAAACGATTGATTATTTTTATCTAACCGAAGATTCTTAAATTGTAGGAATTTGAGTCAATACTTAGATTTGCTAAATTTTTTCATCACATCATTCATAGTTCCAAAAAATGATACGTACAAAAGATCTGTTATCAACTATTCTAAGAATGCAAATTTCTCAATACTTTCAGACTACTCGACAGTAATTAAAACTAGATTGTTTAACAGATATATTCGCTGATATATTTAGATACAAATTATTGCTTATATTGAACGTCTAAAAAGATACTTTTTTCTCCAATTAATACTATCATACTCAGCTTCGTAAATATAGAAGAATGGTAAATATTTTAGCATAAATAATATTATAAGAAAATACGTTGCTAAAGGGTACCGTATGGCTATTTTTACAAATATGAGTATCAAATGAGCATGTAAACGGGAGAGTATACAGAAAAAAAACAAATGACAAATATAGAGAAGAAAATATGATTTATTAGTTTCACTTCATTTCCTCTTTTTGAATAGATAGATACAGAATAGTATTCTATTGAAAGCTCGTTATTTCGAACTTTTCTTCTGTTATCATTATTATTGAACAATACGTCTAATGTATATATTTTAAATGCTAAGTCTTATATCGAATAGAATCGATTATTTAGTTTATACATTCGAATCATTAGTCAAGTATTTACTTATTTTAGATCAATCTGATATTTGCTTGATGAAGATTATTGAACTTTCAAAATCCAATCCTATGGATCACATTTATTCGAATTTGACTTAAATCTAAATGATATTTTTAGCTCTTTTAGTAAAGTTTTTATATTTACATCGGATAGTCAGTTTAGAAGGTCGTATCTGTTGGTCCACTAGCATATTCTCTACGTTTCGGAAATAGTTCTAATCATGTTAGTATAAAATTAGATTACAAGTAGTTCTAGTTTTTAGAATAGCATCTATTGGATAAACTCTAAATCTGGTAAACAGATAATTTTTAGGTCACACAGACTTAGGCAGATCTAGTCTTTATCTTCTTCCTACATTTCAAATTAGTTCAAAATTGAAGGTTAGATCCGTATCCTAATTATGCATATATATGAGTACATTATCAAATCATTTCGACCAAACAGATCTAAATATTCACTACAAACTTCCTGTCAAACATATACTTTTATAACTCAAGTAATCATAAACGAATAATATCATTTCTTTGTTCAAGTTCTTTGGAATGGTTATTAATGTAATTTGACACACCGGCATTTAGCGGAGCAGCAACTGTATTTTATTTAATCAAAATTAAAAACTTAATTATATATTCTGAATATATTTCGATTTTTTATTTTGTATTTGCATGTTTTAAAATAGAGTGAGTATAACGGAAATACTCTTCTCATCTTTAAAATTTCACAAATTAGATTTAATCACTACCGTTAACATTATTTTTGAAAAAGGTATTATATGGTCCAATAGTAGTTGAAAGTCTTTTGTTTTTCTACATATTTATTTACTGTCTTGTTTCTATACGTTAGAAAAATAACAACTTCATTTGACATGTACGACAAATCAAGATTTTTCCCACCACTTTCTGTAGCTTCTTTGTCTATTTAAAGGTACTATGAGAATTCATTTTTACAAAGTGTAGTAAACAAATTCTATTACTTCGTAATATTTACTAAGAAAAAATAGTATTCTATCTATCGTTCTACATCAAATATTCGAGGTAGCTGTTGAAATATTAGATGAGTAACTATTAAAATTTGATTTATTATTGCAATATTATCTCGAATTTACTATAAAAACTTTAGTCTATAAGAGAAATGAACCGCAATGAATTCAATATAGGTCAGCTAAATAGTCAATAATACTTTGTATCCCAGCGATGTATATATACATATTCAAACGTAGTTATTTTGACAAAGATCCTCCGTATGGAACATCTTTTTATCATTTATTATTAGATGAGGTTAAAAATACGTTGTGCCTGTTGATATCACATATCTATATTACTCTCTCTAATACTCTTTAATTAGTTTCTAGCTACCGTTAGAATACTAGAAGACAATGATAAGAACGAGCCGAAAACATTCTTTTTGAACAATAATTGTAAACTTCAAGAAAAAGACGTCTGACTAAGCAAAAAAGTGAGGGATTTATGAATAACTCTCGAAATGGATTATTATTAGAAGATAAACTACTGACACTTTTTTTGACACAAAAGTCATTTCTTCGTACATAAATAAATATTATATTAAGAAAGTTCAAATTCCACAGAATATCTGAAACTTAAAAGATTAGAGAGATAAAATTTCTTGAAGAATGTGACGGTAACCAATTCAAATATATCATATAAAGAGAAATTGATAAAACATCATATTTTCGAATAGATAGCATAAAATAACAAATCTTTCTGATTAGTTCATACTCATTATACGATGTTGAATAAGACTAATCCGTGTGTTTATTCTCATTCTTTTTTATGTTCCTACGCGTTTTTATTTATCATACTGTGCAAGTATATACGATTTTGGCTGAATCTAACATCGCAATAATGATGAAACCCAGTTCTTAAGAATGTAACAATGAGCAACATAATTTCATTTCGCTCCATATCTTTTGTACCGCGAAAGTACAAATAAAAATATAGATGCATTAGATAACAAAGAACTTCACACGCTGTCAACTAAAAAACATGTTATGATCATAATGATTTAATTAAACTACGGATAAGAATTATTCTCTTTTAAATGCATATAATTATCATATTCCGAATGTATATAATTATAACTTTTTATCATAGATTACTTTCTTCATAAAAATTATTTTACATAAAATAAATATTTCATTTTCAATGTATGTTTAATTTTTATTCAGGTAAGAACCACATGAGTTTCTAAGACATCATATATTTATGTATCAATGCTTGATTGTTAATTATCCATTCTCAGATATTCACAACTTTGTCTAGGTTTTTTCTATAAAATTTTACCTTATATATTAATTTTACTAAAAACACAAAAATAAATCATATAGACAGATCACATCTTCAATCTATATTAATACCATGTCCGACATAGCTAGAATCACATCACTGTTCTATTTCTGAAGACAAGAATCTCTCTTATATTTGTCATAATGTCAAACGTACAGTACTCATTAATAAATATCCTATTATTATAAATAATAGCACAAAAGAAAAGTTGGACTATATTTCATAAATGTCATGTCTTCTAATAATTAAACCAATAAATATTTCTAGTTAAGAATAAAGATGATATATTTCAACAATACAATTTCTTGCCTTGTTTAACATTATATTATAAATATCATAATATATAGAACATGATATTCAATTTTATTTTTTACTTAAATTTATCTAAACGTATCAGACAGGAAAAAGTACTCGTAGTTTATTTACGAATAATTATTTTATTATTACGTAATTGCACACATATGATCTTTGAAATATGAATCTCATTATCTAGATAATTTATTTTTAGTATCATTATCGTAATATGAAGATGAATAACATTCTTCAATAATGTATTATTAATACTTGTCTTTATATTCACAATAGAACTCGACATCGATTCATTATTCTAAAGATATTTGACATTTTAATTTTTTTTACTTCTACATTTGATGATAGAATATTTTTAATGAACTGCGTGCTTGAGTGAAAATTTTTATAGATGATGAAATTATTTTCCTTTTATTTCCATGCAATTTAATATTCTCAAAGAATATATATTAATGAAAGAAATTCAACCGTATAAATACTATTTGCAAAACGAATATTGCAATGATAAACTTGACAACTTCATGCGCATTTCTTTTAATTTATAAAAAAAATGTGTGAATTTTTAATTTATAAAATTAATCCTATTTTCTATAATTACCGATAAAATAATTTAGAAAGAAAAGCTTGTTTCATTATAAATGAAATAGAACCTGAAGAGAAAAGTAATCGGATGGTGTTTTCTTAGATTAAATGTTTAAAATCATACATAAACATATACAAAATCTAAATATATGTCTCTGCTCATTATTTTTATCTATTAGACTAGATTTTCATCAAAAGTAAACTCCACAATGGATGATGTGTAAAAGTCACGTATATCATAACAGGCATAAAATACACATGTTTATTGGCTAGAATGAAATGACATATCTATATTTTTTTAATTTGGAAATTATTCTATGGAAAGAAAAGTGTTTTCTATGATATTTTTTTTGTTCTAAGAAAATAAAGATTTTGACACTTGTAAATTTAATTCTGTTTATTGATTATATCATTTTCAAAAAAAAGTTACCAAAAATGAAACTTTTTGAGTAGAAATAATAATGAGTTATATTACACAAAATTTCTTGGATTATTACATAGTGGATAATGTTGATGTTGCAATCTTTGACGTTGTATAAGATCTTCATATGTTGTTGGATAAGATAGTTTTGTTGGTCGTTCAAGTAAACGTAACATTGCACGTCGAAATGTATATGATATAGAAAAATAAATAGCAAAATTAGTTGCAGAATTTAATGTAACAAAAAAATCAGTTAATTCTCTTATGGCACGTTTATTATATGTTTCATCGATATAACCCATATTAAGTATAAGAGATAAAAGTGCATCAGGAAAATAACAACAAATAAAACAACCAATAATAATAATAAGACTCATTGTTAAACGATAAAATGCTGTACCAGCTGATGATTTCATTCGACAAAGTAAATAAACAATACGCGTATTTAAATAAAGCAATAGTAATGAAGGAAATATTGCACGTATAAGGTCAACTATAATTGAATATAAACGAAAAAAACGTGAACTACCAAATTTTGATAAACGGATGGATGAACTTGAGTTATTTAATGTTTCATTTGCTGATAATGGAATAATTTCATAACGAAATGATACTGGCAAAGAAATAACAAGACTGAGAATGATTATTAAATTACATATCGTACGAGAATTTTTCTGAATTGTTAGTCGTGTATGACTATTTGTACTACACAATATATACCTATATATATATTTAGAATATATTTACTTTTAGATATTTATTCAATTAACTTACCTTTCAATAGCTACAATTAATGTAAGCCATGCTGTGGATAATGTTGATACAGTATTAATATAATGACAATAACGATAGAGTATAAGAAATAATTTTTTTCCAAATTGTTGATTAAATATTTGAATAATAAGTACAATCGAATAAAGTAAATCATTTGAAAGTTTAATTGTATCTGATACAGCAAGATAAAGAAGAAATTGTGTTGTTAAAAATCTTTGCATACTATTCGTAACAAATACAATAATACAAAGAATATTACTAATAAGACCAGGTATACAAATAATTGGAATAAGATATATTCCACATATCATTTGAATACTTTCAAATATAACTTTATCTTCATTTGAATTATTTGTTAAAAAACCCATCGTTTATTTCACAAAAAAGAAAATTACTGATTTTTTTTTCCTATAACAACAAACAATGATAATATGACTTTGCAAACGACCTGTCTATATCTATATATATATGATAAATATCTAAAAGCTAATTCAAAAATAATTATAAAAGGTAAGAAAAAAGAACAGAAAAAAAGTTTTTTTCCCCATACTTTAACATGCATAATAATCTAACATTATTACTTTCTACTCGAAATTATGACCTAGAGTCTATTAAGATAAAATTATAGAACGTTGCACAAAAATAAATAGCATTAATCTTTAATGCTAATCATATTTTCGTCTTATCTATTATAATATGAATAAAATAGACGAGATAATTTCTTTACTGTATATATTTATATATAGCAAAGAATAAGGAATATTATTGTTTTCTATCAGAGGAAAAAACAATCGATATGATGCTTGATGCATACTAGACAAAAAAGAACAAATTATTTTCCAAGCTTTCTTTTTTTTTCCTATCCTATGAACTCGATATTATAACGACGAATAGTCGACTGATTACATCTGGGTCATATTACATGAGTTCTATATTGTCAAAAATAGATCGAATATATGATAAATTCCTATGTTAAATAATTCTAAAAGAGGGTGTTGAAGTGATAAAACATGTTATACTTGAAAAAGCAGAATGGCTATGTAAATAGAGTAATTGAAAGTGACTCAATGTTCTCATAGACAGAAAGAGAAAAGATTTTTTTTATATCTTGAGTCAAAGGAGAGAAAAAAAAAGCAAAGCATAATTTGATATAGTTTTCTCTTCTCTTACAAGAATAGCTATACATGAAAAAGAACAGGCGCGAAAAAAGAAATAGTTCTGTCAAATATGTTGATAATTTACTGACACAAATTGATGGCTTGTCAGCGTTTGGGAGAATCTTATTTGACATTTAAAAAGCTTTGGATTTTACACATTAAATCACACTTATTTCTTTTTCACAGATAAGTAAACTATTAATTATTAAAGAGAGAATGTCTTGTTAAACAAAAATACAACGGAAATGAATATTTTAAAATATGTTTGTTGTTTTCAATTATCTATCTATCAATATAGTATTTCTTAGGGAAAAGAATGTATAAAAGCATATAATTTTGTTATGAGAGATTCATCTTAGTAATCAAATGTTTAGAAATGAGAAATGACTGACATAAGCTTAGATACGAACAAAAATTATAGAGCAAAAAGATTTATCAAACTAACGAGAAAATTATTCTATCTAAGAAACATCGAAATTTATTTATATAAAATTAGACATAGAATAAAGAATAGATAATATTTATTCATTACAAATTGCCTAGAAATATTAAGACGAAATAATTTCTCATTAGAAATTCAGATTTCATTCATTGTTGGCGTCTTACTGATTAACAATACCAATGGTGTCTTAAGGCTAACAACCAAATGATAAAAAGCAAAGACAAAAAAAAAATTTACAAAATCTTTGTCGATACAGATTAAAAAAAACAAGTTTCCTGATGTTATAAATAATATACATTATACTATTTTTGAAGGATAAAAAACAAAGTTTACTTATATATTCATGACTATCATATAGAATGACACTATATGCAACATTAATCACCATCAAAATTTAATAGAATTATCGATAATATTTCACACACTAATATACTTAACATTGTGGAATGAATATATATAACTAAAAACATATGATCAGTTTGATTCGGGCGATATGACATTTTTATTGAACATAATTTTTCAGCAAAATGATCTCACAAGAGACAAACTTATATTCAATCCAAGATTCTCCGGAGATTTATATCTCAGTAATTTATGTATATAATCAAAATAAGACTAATTCGTTAATGTACATTCATATATATATAATGTTTGAGAATTTCTTTGACTTAACAATGAATATTCTCTGAAAATCAAATATATTATCTTACATTTTTCTTTTAAATCATTTGCACTCTCTCAAGATACGCAAATAATTATATAAATAGATCTACTCATAAATAACGAGAGGTTTACAATATCAATTCGGATATTAAATATTGCATTAATATTTTGCCATAGAACAAAAAAAACTTCTAGTCATAATAAAAAATAGTCTGGATTGGTTTTGTCTTTCTCTTATCATTTGCGCATACTATCGAAGGAAAAGTTATTACAGAACAACATATATATATACTTTTTAATTAAAGGTCTTGATCATCTATATACACTCAATTTGTATAATTGATACATATCTTTGTGACTTGAGTGAAATAGATTTCGTTCTTAAAACATCATTGTGATTGTACGAATATTAGATTAAATCTAATAGGAAAAAAATTCTCATACAATTTTTTTTACTGTTTATTGATTAATAAATAGATGCAGACATTTAGTTTAGTTTTGTTTATACTATATGCATAATTAATTATTATTGGAAACAGTCTCATAGGTATTCTATTGCTTTTTCTTTGGAGTACATTATGAATACTATAGCTGTTAATAATCTTTGTATAGGGCAAAACCTAAAATTACCATTCCTGTAAATTCTATTGACTGTATAAAATATTATTCGATTTTCTTTCGGAAAATTGTAATAATATTTTAGAGGAATTATTCGATTACTTAAAATATATTTAACTATTTGATTACTAGTGACTTTTATGCTTATCAAAGTTCATAATAAAAACGATTTACATAATTAAAAGGTTAAAAAAATAGAGAAAATTGAATAGTTCTTTTTATTATGGTATAGGGTTGTTCGAGTCCTTATATCGTCTATAATTTTACTGTAGATTAAAATATATTATAAATAGGAAGTAAATTGAAAATCTACAAATACCTTGTTTTTACTTAATTCACTTATATGATAATAGGGATTACGGAAGAGATATAAATCGATTATATATACAAAATGATAAACTATGGAGATGGCAAATTGTAAATCTAACAAGAGTTAGAGGAATAAAAATAGAAACAGTCGATGTGATTGTATTGACATTTAAAATCTGTGTTTTCAAACCTTTTGCCTCGATACATTGGATTGCATATGAATACAATAATTGAAAATTTATCATCTCTCGTTAATACTTTTTCTTCAAGAATATTTCTACACATGCACATGTTGGAAATCAAAAATAAATCATCGTTTTTGAATAATTTAATAAGCACATCACCGATACATCATATTGCAAGTTCTATGCTATTACCTTCATCAATCATTCAGTTATCAGAATCAATTGTATGACAGAAATGATATGTTTTCCCTTTTTTGCTTCCGGAATAAGTCATATATTACATTGGAAAAGATCCTAATCTCAGTCGTTTATCTAGAAGAAATAATTTATACGAGAGATATATCTAATTGCATTCCGATTAGACACATTGTTCATCAAGAAATCAGTGAATTCAGTTGAAAAATCGAAATTTAATTAGTTTTTTGTTCATAATAATTCATTGTTATTGTACTATTAAAGTACACATTGAAATCGTTTCAATATAGTAGTATTAATACTTCAGCAACGAGTTTTTTTTCTATCAATAAAATTAATTTTGGTTTTCGTGAAAAAAGGATATACATAACTCTTTTTCCAATATCAATCTGTAAGAGAGTACAGTCAAAAGAAATTATGCAAGAGTTAGCATACCACAGTTAACGTGATCAATTGAATATTTAACAAAAAAAACACTGTCTATGTAAAAATTCATGCTATGATATTGAAATTATTTCTATAGAATTTTGTCATTTTATTGGATTAAGTTCTATCTCTGCATGTGAATAAAATGCATCATATATAGCCATTGTAATTGTAAGTTTTTAATTCTTATTATATCTCAACCATCGACGAAATTAGTATTTCTTTGATTATGAAGCCTATTGTTAATTAGTTTTCTTTGTCATTTAAAAAAATCAAATATACTCTGTGATCAATACAAAGGTATATATTTACCTTTCGACGACTTGAACTCATTAAAAAAACATATTTTTTCACAGTATTTTTATTTTTTTTAGAGAATTGTGTCATCCATATGATTATTTATGTCATATTTTTATGTGTTTTTTTGCACTTAAAACGAATAAAATCATGTTTTTTTTGTTTCTTTCTGTTTTTTATATCTTAACAACCATTGTGAATAATTTCTCCACCTCCATTTTGTCATTTAGACGAGTACTTTATTATAAAAATATACTGATAAAGATATTATTGAAAATGTCTCATGAATCTCTAATACCTTGTTGTAAAGATTATGTATTTGATTGGTGTTTAAATGATGATGATGTGATTAATAAACATATTAATCATGAATTGCAAAGATTACGACGAAAAGATTTATCTGAAAGAAAACTACTTCTATTAGGTATATTCAATTGCAACAGAATTATTTTTATTATTATTATCTTTTTGTTTATAGGAAATGCTGAAGCGGGAAAGTAAGTTCAGACTTATAATATTATTTAGGTTTTTTTGTTTTCTTTATGAATTAGATCGACATTTTTAAAACAAATGAAATTAATTCATGGTCAAGGTTTTAAAGAAGAAGAAAAACATCGAATTATTCCATTTATTTATAAACAAATCATTATTGTTGTTCGATGTATTTGTCGAGCAATGGAAAATCTTCGAATTAATTTTGAAAATACTAAAAATGAAGTTTGATGAAATTATAAATAATAAAAATAAATAAATCAAATTTTTTTCTATTAGGAATATGCTCGTTTTTTAAATTCATCAAATAGTAATATTCATGATTTTGATCATATATCAACATTATCAACTGACACAACTGAAGCGATAAAACATATTTGGTCAGATAAAGGTATTCAAGTATGTTATAGTCGTCGACGAGAATATTCATTAACAGATTCAGCTAAATAGTAAATATTTATATATAATGATAAATTAATGTATGAGTTAGTTTTTGTTTAGTTTTTTGGATGATATCGATAGAATTTCTCAAGCAAACTTTATACCGACTGATGATGACTTTTTAAGAGTACGAATACCAACAACAGATATTGTTCAAGAAGATTTTCAATTTCCTAATGCACGACTTCGGTATGATAGTTTCATTAAGATAATTATAGCTTTATTGTTTACCAATATAATATAGAGTTATTGATGTTGGTGGACAAAGAACAGAACGTCGAAAATGGATTCATTGTTTTGATGTAAGTTGGATAGGGGTGCGCAGTTTCAGTAAACTGTGCACTGTCAGCACCGACAGTGACGCATCGTAGCACTAACACCGGGCTCACTGATGCAGTGGAACCGCTCGGATACCGACGGTGGTAGGTGAACTCACAGCATCAGTGAACCCGGTATCAGTGTTATCAGTGCTACGGTACGTCACTGTCAGGACTGAAAGTGATAGTTTTTCAGTATTTGCACTGAAACTGCGCATTCCTAAAGTTGGATTGTTTTATTTTTAATAATATATATTTTCTATTCATCTAGAATGTAACATCTATCATATTTCTTGCATCGCTTATTGAATATGATCAAAATATTGTAGATGAACCATCAGCACAGGTTTATAAAGATTTTTCAACAATAAAAAAAACAACGATTTCTTATATATTTAGAACTTAATGAAAGAAAGTGTAGCACTATTTAGTGTTATACTATTATCAGATTATTTTTATAATGCTTCAATTATACTTTTTCTCAATAAGACTGATCTATTACCTGAGCGTCTTGCTAGTAAACCTCTTCGATATACATATCCTGATTTTATTGGTAGTTCAATTCATAGAGAAAAATATTTATTCATAATTGCTGTTTTTTATTGTTAGGTGCAGATAATGATGTTGAAGCGGCAAAAGAATTTATTAAAAATAAATATTTAGAATTAGTTGAGCCAAGATATAGACACATGGAAAAAAATATTTATCCTCATTATACATGTTCTGTTGGTTTGTATTTCGAAATTATTATTTACAATTATTATTGGATTTTGTTTTTTAATTTTTAGATAAAAAAAATATTCGAATTGTTTTTGAATCGGTTAGAGATACTGTACTTGCACATAATCTTTACTATTGGAGTTTGTATTAAATTAAATATGTATAAAATAAAATGTCAGATTGAAACAAAACTGATCAGATTTTATTTAAGTTCTACTAGCATTCATTTCAATAACTCGAGTGCAGAAAAGATAAAAACACAAACTATATATAAAAAAAAGAAGACGAAGAAGAGAGAGAAAAAATGGATTAATGCTCATCAACAACGTCATCATCCCAATTCACTAAACTATGTTGAGCACTTAAGCCACCTATTTCGCCAAGTAACCAATACGTTCGTTGTTTTCCTTTACCCTAAAGATATGAAGAACAAAAAACACAAATTTTTTCAATAGAATAATCATTTATTCTTATACCTTCATTTCGACATCACCACGTAATTTAAGTTCGAATGTACCAAATTTTTCAAGAATAGCGTTTGTACTCGATGAAACATGAATACGTAATGCTTTACCATTTGACTCCATTCGAGACGTTGTGTTTACCTTAAATAATTAAAATATATTAGAAATTTCTTTTATCTTTGCTATCTGTAATCAACTTACAGTATCACCAAATAGACAATATCGAGGCATTCTTAAACCGACAACACCGGCAACACATGGACCGGAATGTATACCAATACGTAATAATAATTTCTTATCTGGTCGATGTCGAATACGAAAATTTAATACAGCATTAAGAAGAGCTAATGAAAGACGAGCTATTTCTCGTGCATGTAAATCTCCATTTGGTGTTGGAAGACCAGAAACAACCATCTATTAAATGAAGAAGATTTTTTTGTTTATTCTATTTTACTTAAAATTTTATTTACATAAGCATCACCAATTGTTTCAACTTTATAAACATCATAATTTTCCGATACAGCATCAAATACAGAATATAAATCATTTAATAAATCAACAACTTGTAATGGTGTACTTTCAGATGATAAAGATGTGAAACCAACAATATCGGAAAAATAAATTGTAACACTTTCAAATGATTCAGCTGTTACAGGCTGACCACCCATCAATTGAGAAGCAACTGGTCTATTAAAATAAGATATTTTTATTATTTGATTGAAAAGAAAGTCATGATCATCAAATATGGTACGAAGATTAGTAAACTTAATCGAGCCGGTTCTTACTTCCATAATTATTATCTGTATAAATAAATCTCATATCTCAAATTAACATTAGATAGTTTTAAACAAATATAGATAAATTTAGATGATACGAAGAATGTGAGTGCGGACTTATAAATTCTCATTCAGAAAATCTTAATCAAAGAATATGACTGAGTCTTATCAACAGACACATAATACAGAATGTATTTATTTCATAACTTACGCTGGTAATAATTGATAAAGTAAAGCTTCTGCTTTTTTCTTCTCAGCTAAATAATCACCCGTACGTTCTTCAACAAGACCCTAGAATAATAAAAAAATTCAATAAAAATTATTTTGTCATCAATACAAACAACGAACTTCAAGATTATTAGCATATTGTTCCATACGTTTCAGTAAATTATCAAGAATATTTCCACTTTCTCCATCTCTAGAAAATTCAAATTTTTATTATTTCTATTTTCAAATACAAACTCATAGTGTCATTCATACTTATTTATACGCCGCATAATTTGACGCATATCCGTAAAATCTGGTCTTTCATTTGGATCTTCAAGCCAACAACGTTTCATTAATTGACCTATTTCAATATTACATTCACCAGCTTCAATTGTTGGTCGAAGTAAACTGCCTGATTTAACACTTTCAATAATTTCTAAATAAAATTTCATTTTTCAAAAATTCAATAATAAATAGAATATTTTTACCCTCAGATCCTAATTCACGATCTCGTAAATAAAATGGACCATTACGTAATTGAATTTCTTGTAAAATAATACCATAACTATACACATCACCTTTAACTGTACCTGCAGCAGGTGGATTTGGATCTCTTAACAACTCCGGTGCTGTCCATAAACGTTCTTTAATAAAAATAAATAAATATGAACGCAAACATGAATAAAAAGTCATACTTTTATAGAATGCTGCATCTTTAGGTACACCTGGTGGTGGTGAACCTTTATTTGAATTTGACCGTAATGTTGGTAAACCAAAATCAGTTATTTTACAGATAAATCGACTATCAACAACACAATTTGAACTTTTTAAATTACCATGTGATCCAATTTGACTACTATGAATATGTTGCATGCCCTAAACAAACAATGAATTTATTTGTAAGATATTTTTTTTCTTCTACTTTAACAATATCATGCATAATAGAATGTTTAAACATAGTATCCAGTTTAATTTCTTCATTTTGTAGAATATCCTATTAAATAAATAAATAAATAAAAATAAATATTCAAAAGAAAATTTCCTACCTGTAAACTTCCTTTCGGACAATATTCAGTAACAATATATTGATGTTTTGGATCAATACAAATACCAATAAATCGAGCGATGTGATCATGTGTTAAATCTTGCATCTTAACAAACATATATATAAAACAAAAGTTTTTATTTTCTTTAACTCAACTGTTTTAACTTCTAATTGTAATGCACGTGTTGTTTCAAGTTTTATTTTATGAAAACGTTTAAGTGCAACAACCGATTGCTTTTAATTAAAAAAAATAGACAAAATATTTAATAAAATAATTTTTATCTTACTTTATAGATTGCTGTTTTTGTAAATGTTTGTTTAGTTGGACCATCTGTTTCACTATTTTGAGAATGATGACTTGAAACTGAACTTCGCTAGAATATAAATATTATTTTAATATATTGAAATCATTCAAAACTACAATTAATATTTATACGGTTAACTAATACACAATAAAATTATTTTTTTTTAGAGAATTACATATCTCTAATATTATTTTACAGAAGTACAATGTTTACATACTCACTGACTTCTCTTCAGATAAATCCTATGTAATATTATTTTAAATTTTTGTAATTTTCATTTAATAAGAAATACAAAAACAAAAATACCTTTTGAGAAAGTGAAAGTTTATGAAATGAAGGTCTAGCAACATGATTACGTAATAATGTTTGTGTAGATAATTCATCCCATTTAATTAACCATTGCATAGCTTTTAATTCAGCTTCAAATTTTGCTCGTCTAAAAATTTTTTGTAAATTATTATTTGAAGAAGAAAATTATAGTTTTTACCGATATAAAATAAATCCAACAATAAGAAGAAGTACAATTATTGATGAAAGACTAATTATAATCCAACCCCAAATTGGAATAAGAGCTAAAATAAAGTGATATATAAAATTTATTTTCAATCGAATATTAAACGAACTCTTTTTAGGACATTTCAAATTATTGAAACCACAACGTGGAGTATCAGTAATAAATGTCGCATTTTTATCAATAAAATAAATCAATCGAGATTCATTTAACCATTGTAATTTTGTATTTTCAGTTGTAAACGGTTCAGCTGGATAAGCCACAACAGCCTAAAAAAATCAATACAATCCATTGTTAATCGTAGAAGGAGAACAGCATATTTTCATTTAGAACAAAGAAGTAGGAACAAAAATAAAGATCTTGTTGAATAAGAATTAAAGCCAGACTAGCTTTATCTGTACTCTTATATATTCTCTAAAATGCATCGCAAGATAATTAGTATTGAAAAAGATCGACCATTATAGACAAATAGATATGCACCCAGGAGCGTTCGCAGAGATGGGATTGGGGAGATCGATCCCCGCCCCCAAAAAAAATTGAATACCTGGAGGGGAGTACAGGTCGAACAAGTTTCAGAATTTTGGAATAACCTTTTTCTACTATAGACTTTTCTGCGAAGTCGTCAATCCCCCCCCCCCTCCCCCAAAAGAATTTCTGTGGACGTGCCTGTATGCACCAGTACCAGTTCAGAAATGGAGAGTGGGTCATCCAGTTGAACTGTACCAGTCAACTCGTAGAGTCGCGATGATACATTCCCACAAGGATTCAGTCTAATTCGGGTCCTAGCGGGAATAAACCATTTTGACACTGACGCATACTTAGAGACAAACGTAATGTTTTGATATTCTATCTCATTCCGGATACAATGACCACTCTGACACTATTCTTATTTTACTTCTTAAAGAAAACTATGGTATATTCAATAAAAATTAATTTACCTCTAATTCTCCTGTATCTGGATCCATATCATAAACTGTATAACCAATATCAATTCGATCACAAATTTGATTCATTGTTATATTTTTATTTGCTCCTTCAATTGATCGATTACAAATCATTGATTTAAAACTTCTTGCATCTAATGATGTATATATTTTTGATTCACCATTATTTGATATTTCTTGTTGATTAGTATAATGTGTTTTTAAAGCTTTAAAATATGTCACAACTGCATCATAAAAATTTGTTTCATCTGTTCCAATCTAAATTAAAATAAAATTTTATTTTTTTATTTTTTTGTTTTATTCAAAAATTCAAGTTATTTTGTTTTTAAGAAGAAGAAGAAAATGTGTTATCCAACATGCAGCAGAGAGCAAAACCATGCGTATATGATTAAATGCATAAGAAAAAAAAAGTAAAATCAATCACCTACTCACTCTTATGGCTGATTTCTATGGAAGAATAAATAGATTAACTATCATTTTGTTTTTATTTAATATATTGAATTATAATTGAAAAAATAAATAAAGCAAAATCGATAAAAACTTACTGTTTCATGTATTAATTGTTTTGTTCGATTTGTTTCACGTGCAAAATCAACAACATTTGTAGCAAAACGACGAAAACGTTCACCTGTATAAAGACGTTGTCGAACAAAAAGTACAGTTTCAAATGCTCGACGTGCCTTCTCATTTTTTTCTTGATCTACTTCATTTGGATTAAACCATGGTTGTCGTACAGCTAAACTTTTTTCATCCGTACTTAAAAAAAGAGGATTTTTAAAAGTAAAATCTTGTTTTCTCGATTTCAATACTTTTCTTGTGTTAAAACAGTATCAAGATAAATAAAAACATATTCTCCATTGACAAAACCAAGTTTTTGAGCTGTTAAAACAGCTGAACGA